GGTAGGGAGGACGCGCGGCCCGAGCAGCTCGCACGTGGGGCGCTGACAGCGGCGCCGGCTGGTCTGGGTGGGGCACCTCCAGTCCCGGAGCCGGCGGCGCTCGCCCTTCGCCGAAGGCCGCGGTTTACCCGCAGCCGTGGGAACCGTATGGGACCCGGCAGGCCCTCGGCCAGGCAGTGCCACGAGGCCCAAAAGTGAGGACTGATGGGGCCTGAAGTCCCACAGTTGGGAGCTGTGAGAGCCTAGGAGTTGGGGGACGAGACTTGTCTCTTCGCCTCACCCAGAGAGCTAGCTGCTCCTGCTGCAGTTTCTACTATTGAAACTGTAATTGCGTTTTAAATATCTGTGACACCGGCCGACCTGAAGGAATCCCAAGATGCATTGCAGGCCTGCGGTCCGCCAGAAACTGTTGGCTGTCAATACAAAGACCTTTTATCATTCTTAATAGTTTGAAAACTTCAAAGGTTCCAAACTGTCAGGAAGATTCCTCAGTAGTAATATGTGGTAGGAAAGCTCATTGACTTGTGTGAGGTTTTTAAGTGGGATTTAAGACCTTCTGAGTGGCACGTTTAGACTTTAATTGCTTGAAAGTGTTGACCTTATACGGACTTCTTGCTATAAAAGCTGTGTTTGTGTGCGTGTATTGGTAGCTTAGTCTGTTACTTGAGACAATTGAATATTTCTGATAACTTCATAGTTGTCCCACGCAGTAACTACAAAATATACTTTCTGTCGTTTCTAGTTTCAGTCTTTAGACATCTCTTTACAAGCTCACTGTGGGGTTGGTAACCTGCTTTCAGGTACTGGTGTTGTGCCAGTGTCTGTTGAGTAAAAATATTGCCTTCGCGCTGGTGCTTATTTGAGTAAATGCGGTATTGTCTTTTTAAAGAGAAAGGGGAAAGGGAAGGAAAAATGCTGACTCTTCAGTTATTTAGCGGGGAGGCTGGTAGGCTCAGATCGTCTGAGCACATTTCAAGTGAGAGTATTGTTAATTTCTGTGTTTTAAGTTCTGGACTTTAGCCTGTGTGATGGCACCCCTAGGTGATGTCTGTAGTTCCAGAACTCTGGAGGCGAAGGCAGGCGGATGCTTGGGGGAAAGCAGAGAAAACAAATGTCAGTGTCACCTAGACTCCCTCTTCCAGGTATGGCAGTGCTTGTCTGTAACCTTGGGGACCTAGGAGGCTCAGGTAGGAAGATCTTTAGGTGAAGGCCTCTGGTACTATCTGGAAAACCCCTCTAAAAATAAATAAATAAATACCCAAAATAAGCAAAGTGCTCTTGGAAATGAGTTTCTTAGGAAACTTTTGCTTCAGTTTGCTCTCCAGGAGTGAAAGGGTGTTTAGGGAAATGCTTTTGTGAGGAACATGTGTAAACAGTTTAGATGAGACTGCTTTGGGTGGCTGGGGTGGAGAATGAACTTTGGGGCTGTATCATGCACGAGGGATTTGTCATACTTATCTGCCCCTCTCCCACCATGGGGGTTTGAATGTTTATTGACTGGCATTTTTTATTTGTGTGTGGTTGATATTTCCCTTTAAACAAGGAAACTCAACTTTATTTTGTTTTGTTTTTCAAGACGAGGATTCTCTGCATAGCCTTAGCTGTCCTTGGCTGTCCTGGAACTTGCTCTGTAGACCAGACTGGTCTCGAACCTATGACTGGAATTAAAGCCGAATGCCTAGCTTAAAATTCTATTTTATTTATTTGCTTTTTGGTTTTTCCACAAGGTTTCTTTATGTTAACAGCCCTGGCTATCCTGGAAGTCACTTTTAAACTAGGCTGGCTTCGAACTCACATATGTCTGCCTGCCTCTGCCTCCAGAGTGTTGGGATTAAAGGTGTGTGCAAACAAATTTTTTTTTAATTGTTGTGTGATTTCTGTGATTGCAGCACTTGAGAAACATGGAGAATTTCCATGAATTCCACGTCAGTCTGGCCTAGAGTAAGAACCTGTATCCATCAAGGAGAAATAATAATAGTATAAACATTATGTGTGTGGTGTCTGAATATTGCCTGTGTATGAGTCTAAAGCTATATGGGCCTAAAGTTTGAAAACTTTGGGTTTATAAGATGCTACCATCAGTGAATTTTGCTTGGGGAAAGCAGAAAAAAACAAATGACAGCAGCACCAAGCATGTAGCTCGCTAAGGGGAGCAGACGCTTTTGATGGTGAGGAATGGTCCATAGGTTCGTGGCCTGTTGCCTGTGTTATCAAGCCAGTCTGTGGTTGGTGTTTCTAGTAGGAGAGCTGTGGTGAGTGGGGCTCTAGAACAACCTCTAGGGTGAGCCTGCTGATGACAGCCATCTCTCCTTTCTCCTGGAAACAGGATGATTTGCCTTTTTTTTTCTTTTCCTTGAAATGCAGTAGAGGAAGGGGCTTTGGTGCCAAGAGTCTTTACATGTTCCTGGAAAGGCCTTTACTCAGAAAGAACTGGCCACCTGGTGTTGACCTTCTTCCCTTTGTAAATGTAAAAACACCAAATTACAGCTGGGCAGTGGTGGCACAACCCTTTAATCCCAGCAAGTGGATCTCTGTGAGTGAGAGGCCACCCTGGTCTACAAGAGCTAGTTCCAGGACAGGCTCCAAAGCTACAGAGAAAACCTGTCTCGAAAAACAAAAATAAAACAAAACAAAAATTTAAAAAACAAAAACAACCAAATTCCTAACAATGATTGAGTAAACTCATTTAAGTGTTATTAAGCATAAGCATAATCCATTTAATCCAATTTTCTGCAGAGCCAAGTAAATTGGGCTAGTGACTATCAATGAAAATAGAGGTCTAAAAAAATGACTGAAAATTTTTTATTTAAGTTTTAGTATATTCTCAAGGTTAAGCAACCAACGTCACTTCATTTTTTTTTTTTTTTTGAAGACAAGGTCATGTTGCCTAGGATGGTCTCCCCATTGCTACATAGCCAAGAATGACCTTGGACTTTTCTTAATCTTCCTGCCTCTACCTCCCCAGTTCTAAGATTACAGGCTTGCCTCACCACAGAAAGTTACATGGTATACATGATGTTGGGGCTCAGCCCAGGGATTTGTGCATGCTAGACGCACACTTACCAAGTGAGCCCCCCATCCTTAGTCTTGTTTTGGATTTTTTAAAAAAGATTGATTTATTATGTATACAGTGCTCTATCTGCATGCATGCCTACGACAGAAGAGGGCATCAGATCCCACTACAGATGGTTGTGAGCCACCATATGGTTGCCGGGAATTGAATTGAACTCAGGACTTTTGGAAGAACAGCCATTGCTCTTAATCCCTGAGCTATCTCTCTGGCCCAGATTTCTTTCTTTCTTTCTTTCTTTCTTTCTTTCTTTCTTTCTTTCTTTCCTTCCTTCCTTCCTTCCTTCCTTCCTTCCTTCCTTCCTTCCTTCCTTCCTTCCTTCCTTTCTTTCTTTCTTTCTTTCTTTTTAAAGGCAGGTCTCACTATATAGCCCAGGTTATCTTCTCAGTCTTCCTGCCTCTGCCTTCCAGAGACTGAAAAAAATTACTGGTGATTGTCACTATGCCTGTCTGACTTTCTGATCACTGGATAGTTTTAAAAATTTCTTCATTGGGGCTTGAAGATTAGAGAGTATCCAAAATCAAAATAATAGTTATTTTCTGCAGAATTCTTATACTTTGTTATGTTAACCAGTTCCTATTTTTAAAAAAAAAATAACAACTGGTGGATAGTCTTTTATTTTTAATGGCACTGATAGTGCAACCCTGAGCCTCTTGTATATGCCAGGCAAGGACTCTACCTAGCCACTCACCCCAGCCTAAGAGGGTGTGTGTGTGTGTGTGTGTGTGTGTGTGTGTGTGTGTGTGTGGTACCTGGGGGGGGGGTCATGGAAACTAGAGGAAGAAATAGAGTGTCCTACTTTATTACTGCCTGCCATACTCCTTTGAGATAGGATCTGTTATGAACTGGGAGCTAGGCTGACAGTCAATTAAACCCCAGTGATCCTCCTATCTCTGCTCCTCTGGTCCCCACAGCACTGGAATTATATGCACCTGTGCCTATTATACCAAGCTGCCTTTTTAAAGTGAGTGCTGGGGATTTGAACTCAGGTCTTGTATAGCAAGCTGTCTGATAGACTGAGCCATCTGCCCAGCTTCCCAACCTATGTTTTTGATTTAGGTTTTGTTTTACAATTTAAATGCCTGCAGGAATAAAGATGTAATGAGTTGGTGGGCCCCATTGGTGGTAAGCATTGTTCCTAGAATGTCACAGTAATGGGGATTAGATTTTGCTTCTTGGTTGATGTCTTCACACATATGGACAGCTTGAATATGAGGATTTAGGGGCATCACCTAGTATAAGGTTGAGTGGTTGTTTAAACTTAAAAATTTTGACTGGAAACAAACCTTTGGGAGCGTGTTTTGTTTAGTGTTATAATATAGTTTATTGCATGGTTGTGTTTTATATATATATATATATTTTAACCTCTTTGAAATCGTACAACATGGAAAGGGCAGGCAAAGTGGCTTCATAGGTTTAAAAAACAAAACAAAGCTTGCCAAGCAAGCCTGATGACCTGCGCTTGATTCTTGGAACCCATGTAACTAAGTGGAAAAGAAA